GTGTTTTGTTGCGTGTATTTACTCGGAGACGGCTCTATGAGACAATGTGAAATATGGTATGGTTTGACTCTCCCCTCCCCCTCCCCCTCCCCTTTCCCGATCCACGACGGAAGTTTAGTCCTTCTTAAACCCGACTTGACTTCTTCCGTTCCACATCTCTTCCTCTTTTTTCTTTTTTCACCCCTCTCCCTTCCCCCCCCTCCCCCCTCACACATATTCAAAATGGCTGCTCCTTCCAAGTACGATAACTACGAATTCCCGACCACGGCGCCGGAGGCTCAGTCTGGCCATCCCGGCCACACCACCCCAGAGCAAGATGCGAAGGTGGAACAGCTGCGGAGCGAACTGGAGCAGCTTGGCTACACCGAGAGACTGGACACTTTGACTCTGCTGCGCTTCTTGAGAGCCCGCAAGTTTGATGTCGCCCTTGCCAAAGCTATGTAGGTCTAGTTTACATTGCATCCTATCTGGCAATTCGTCCCTGCAAGCGATGCACATGAATATGGCGGCACTGCGCTGGCATGCTCTCATGCTTTGTTTTCTCACGACGGGGTATCATGTCCAAACAGAAGTCAACGGGCTAACACTTTTTGTGAATAGGTTCATTGACAGCGAGAAGTGGCGGAAAGAGTTCGGGACCGATGACCTGGTCCGCACTTTTGACTACACCGAGAAGCCTAAGGTCTTCGAGTATTACCCTCAGTACTATCACAAGACGGATAAGGTACAACCCCCAGGACTAAGCCAACATGCTCTTCGAAGCGGTTCGAGATCGGGCGCTAATGACTTTGATGCGTTTAGGATGGCCGGCCCGTTTACATCGAAAAGCTTGGCAAGATCGATCTCACTGCCTTGAACAAGATCACCACCGAAGACCGTATGCTTCAGAACCTCGTGACTGAGTATGAGAAGCTCGCCGATCCCCGCCTGCCCGCCTGCTCGCGCAAGGCCGGCAAGCTCCTGGAGACCTGCTGCACTATCATGGACCTCAAGGGCGTCGGAATCACCAGCGCCCCATCCGTGTACGGCTACCTCAGCAAGGCGTCTGGTGTCTCCCAGAACTACTACCCCGAGCGTCTGGGTAAGCTCTATCTGATCAACGCTCCTTGGGGATTCAGCGGCGTGTTCAGCTTCGTGAAGAAGTTCCTCGACCCCGTTACCGTCAACAAGATCCACATTCTGGGCAGCAACTACAAGAAGGAGCTGTTGGAACAGGTTCCTGCCGAGAATCTCCCCGAAGAGTTCGGAGGTTCTTGCAAGTGCAGCGGCGGCTGCGAGTTCAGTGATATGGGACCTTGGCAGGAGCCTGAGTGGGCCAGGCCCCCCAAGTGGGCTGCCCCCAAGGAGGAACAGGCTGTGGCCAAGACCGAGGAGCCGGTTGCTGAGGTTCCCCAGCCTAGCGCATAGAGCCTTTCTCATTTTCCGATGCGTTTTCTTGTTTTCGTTATATTGGAACAATATGGTAAAAGCTTCAGGCACGATTTTGCCAATCTATATCCCTTCTTCTGTTGCTAGATTTGCTTGGTCTGTTTCATTTTCCTCATACCTTCCCGGGCAAGTCATTCCGCTAATGCCCTAGCCAATTCCCATTTCATACATCACCCAATGTCAGATCAACCCCCCAAGTGGCTCTGTCTATTGAGCTCATTACATGTTGGGCGCCGGTGACGGCTGCACAAGCATGGTTCTTTTTCTTTTGCCTGTCGATTTGCCATTCTATTTCAGTTCTTGTCGTCTCTTGGGCTTAGATCTCAACCACTGTCTGAGCGTGTTTGGGTGCATCTATATAAGTCGGAGTGCAGGTGGGGAGTAATGCAGAGTGGACGATAAAAGTGCTACACGGCGGTTGGAATAGAGTTACGTAGATCTTGTTTGCATACAGCATTCTCAACAATTATTCGACAGACGATATAAGTAATCCGTTTGAATCAAACTTCAAATCCAACAATTCTTGACTATTCACTAGTCAACAAAATGCACCATATATCAATTTGGTATCATCCCAAGCCTACCTAGGCTACCGACGCCATTCCAGTACCGATAACGAAAATTCAATGAAATCCAAAATGAAAGTGAAAGAGAGGATAGAGCAGGGACGGCAGGGACATCGAGACAACCCCCTCACTTCTTTTCCACAACCTCGACCGCCCGACCAGCGCGCTCGGCCTTCCCCAGAGTTGAAGCCAGAGCGTTCCCGTCTGCACCCTCGGCGTCCGATGTAGCGGCCTGCCCGGCCAGAGCTTCACCCTGCAGTCGAAGCAGAGTGCGCAAGGCATCCTCGTAGACTTCCGCTATATCGCCACTGCGCCAGCGCTCCGCCTCATGTTTCGTGCCCAGGGGAACCTGCAACTTTGCGCGCCGCACCAATCGAGCCGACCTTCTTGTTTGTGGTGGTGGTGTTGTTGACCCATCCATGGCACCAACCTCAGCGCCTCCAAGTGCATCAACCATTTCCGTATCACGTCCTTCGCCATCTGTTCTCGACGCTGCTGCTGCTGCCGCTGCCGTAACTGTTCCCGTGCCCGTGCCCGTGCCCGTCATCTCTTGATCCTCCGCTGCTCTATCCAGACTGACTCCCTCACTCTCCTCCTTCAACCCATTATCCTCCTCCGCCTCCTCACCGACAACAACATCCATACCATCATCCCTTTTCTCCTGCTCTCCCTCTCCCTCTCCCTCTCCCCCCTCTCCAAGTTCAAGTTCAAGTTCAACATCCTCTGCCTCCTCCATCTCCTCCTCAATCACCCTCCTCAAGTGCTCCACATACGCCCTCGCCGCCCTTCCCGGCGCGTCCCGCCGCAACTGCGCCACCGTCGTCGTCAACGACTCCAGCTGCGCGTACAGCGAGGTCACCCGCGCCGCGAGCTTCGCGTCATACGCCTCATACTCGACCTGTTCGGTGGGGGCGGTGAACGAGGCGGGGAAGGGGAATTCTTTGGAGGAGGAATCGAGTCCGTTGATCGTGATGGAGTAGGAGGCGCTTGTGAAGGTGCGGAGGATGTACTGTTTTTGTTTGAAGAAGTGGATTAGCTTAACTATTGGGTTTTTGTGTGGGAGGGATGCTGTTTTTTTTTAAAGGGGGGAGAGGCCAACCTCGTCAACTAATTCGCGGACACGTTCGCGCATCGGATCCGGTCCATCGTTGGGATTGGCGGAGGGAGGTAGGTGGAGGTCGAGCTTTTGGCGCGAGAGCGCGACAGTGTTGCCGTAGAGGTAGGTTAGGTCGGCTGGGGATTGGAGTTCGATTTTGCGGTGGTGCGAGTCGCTCATGTTCTTTTCGTGTGGAAATGGGTATGAGAGGAGGGAATTGGGGTGGAGAGGGCCGGATGGTGCTATGTAACTTTTTGGGGGGAGGGGTGGTGTTTGAGTGAGGAGGGGTTGGCGTTTGGTGTTGGGGTTTATTGATTGTTTGTTTTATCTGGAGGTGATGATGGTTCGGAGATACACCCGCGGTACGGAGAGATAGATAGTGTTACCCCCCCCCAGTTGGTGCCTTAGGCACAAGGTAAAAAAAGGTAGTTATGCCTCAGGCGCTGACCAGGCAGCCACCACAGTTCTTTAGTGCCGATCGGCGCGCCCCCACAACGATGTCATCGATCAAGTGAGGAACTGAGGAACTGGGCTTGGGGTTTCACTTAAAACACTAACTACCACGCATGAACTACTCCTATCTCTCCGTGATGTGGTGGCCGATCATCCTGCAATTCACTCTTGGGTTCCCCCTTGGCCTTATGTGATAACATCAATTTTATTATTCCCTTCATCCTTATCCCTAAATTGCAATACTAAATTCGGTCCTGAGGAGAGGGGGTTCGACTGCCGATCACCCCTGCTGCGCACAGTAAACTTCAGCTCCACCTACAACATTTGCCTTTTCTCTTTGTTTTTTTCAGTTCAGGTACAAGTTGTCTTGCTGCTGCGATGAGATCACTGCTGGGCCGTGATTACCTGAGCTAGTACACTTCGAAGATATCCCAAAAACAATGGAAAGCAATATCAAGATCAGTCTTGTCGACAAGACCGCTCCCCGTCGTCCGTCGGACGATGCGCTGGCGCAATCGCACACCGCAACAACAGACCTCTCTCGGAATATCTCGAGGAAGTTCACCCGGGCATCTATACGAAGCGAGCTCGCCAAGCGCAAGTATGCCAAATGGCAGCCGGACCGTCTGGGTCTTACCGACGATGAGGACAATTCCGACCGCAGACTGTCCGAAGGGCGCGACCTGTTCACGACCGAGACGCGAACGGACACACTGGCAGGGGAGAGTCACTTGGCGGCGGGCCCCTCGTGGTCGCAGAGCTCTCCGGAGGACCAGCACAATGTCGACTCGTCGGACGTCGACCAGCAGGGCGTCCGAGATCACGAACATGACGGCCACAACCACCCCAAGCTATCGGGGCTGAAACCCGGCACCGAGCTGGACATCCTGTACGAGAACCAACGGGGTTGGTTCTTCTTCGGCATCCCCCTCTATTCGCACAGCTCGCTGCTCAACTTCGACCCGGCAGCCTGGACGACGCCCGACGGTCGGGACAGTGCCGTCGACATCACGAAAGCGCAGCTCCCGGACCCCAGCTGGGAGTGGGTCTGGAAGACCTGGTACGTGGACATGTCCGGGGATGTGGATGATCAGGGCTGGCAGTACTCCTTCTCGTTCGGCTCGTCGGCCTGGCATGGGTCGCATCCCTGGTATCATTCGTACGTGCGCCGTCGCCGATGGGTCCGACTCCGAGTGAAGCGCGTGTCGGAGCGCAGTCGTCGGGGCCGGTCGGGTCTGGAGGTGGCGCACATGCTTAACGAGGACTATTTCACGATCCACTCGGGGAAGGCGAAGACGAGGGCGCCGAGCACGGATGGCCTGTCGCGCGCCACGTCCGGATATCTCAGTCGCGCGGCTACGAAGGTAGAGGAGGAGGTGCCAGTGGAGGAGATCGCCAATATCCCGGCCTTGATGCATGCGTTGCGAGTGGCCAGAGTCGATCGGGAGAAGATGGACGCTCTGGAGCAGTTTATGCAGGAGGGTGGGGACGAGCTCTTTTATTTGGATGGAAAGGTAAGCTTTTTTCCCCCTCTCTCTCTCTAACCTACCCTGCTCTTCATTTGGCCCGTCAGACACAAGTCCTGATGTCAATTTGATGGTAGATCCCGGAGATCATGTCTATGTTTGTCTTCCAGGCTTCTCGGTGGCAGTACTTCACCCGCTTATCCGATGTCGTCGAGGAGCTGTCTCAGAGTAGCTCTGAAGCAAGTGGAAAGGAGGCAGCGGAGCTCCAGCGTAAACGCGATCACCTTCAGAAAGCTGCAGATGTAGCCCGGCGTCATCTCACGGGGCCTGAAGTGCTGCATTTCGATAACCGGCACCTGGAGGCGGGGATGCTGGACCTGACTCCAGCCCCGAAGAGAGGCAGTTTGTTGTCGAAGTACTCCGGCAAAGTCTCATTCCGTCCTATGGATGACGGGGGTGAAATCAAAGGAATCCCCCAAGCAGCTGAAGTAGGGCGTGAGGGCCATATTTACCAGTATACTTCATGACGGCTTGCTTTTGCTTGCATGGGTAGCATAGCGCTTTGTTTTTTTTTTTTTTTTTTTTTCTTTCAATGTTGGGATTTCATGATCTTGAATTAGCTTGGTGTCATGGAGCAGCTTGTGTTTTCTCCCCCTTGTTTTTGCCAGTACTTTTATCATTAATCAACATTTCTTGGATATTTTTAATCTCAGTGGAGAGCTTGTACTTCTTGTCCTGCTACAGTTCCTTTGTTAGAATGAAAGCGGAGTGCTGGCGGCGACGGGCACAAAACCTCGGGCCGTTCACTGACCGCCTTGGCCGGGAAAAACATTTTCTAGGTTCCGCAGCGGAGTGACCACCGGAGCTTTGATCTTGCCTTGCCTCTACCCTTCCACTAATATTCCAGACACAACTTTCTCAATTCCCTCTACCCTTAACCCCCTGGCCCTGATTCTTGCCTAGGGTCAGTCCCTACGGGCTCTCGTCAATGCTTTCACGCAGTCGGCCATATCTCACGAGGCGCAGATTACCTGCTGTCCTGGACCACGTCGCGACTGCCCCCGATGAGCCACTCCTCTTTCTTTACCCATCCTGGTTTACGTCTCTGCCCGCGCATCGGGGGTCGGCCTTGACAAGAAACCCCGCTCTTAGTTTATCCAGACAATATCATCGCCCTAGCAAACGTGGACCCAATGCCCCCCGACTCTCCCCGCAGTCCTCGACCGGAAATTATTCGTCTAGACAAATAACCTCTTCTTCCATTGCCGTCGGAAGACGTGGCTTGGACAAGGAAGCCACAAAGCCTCAAGCAAAGCCTCAAGCTTCACGGACGTCGCCCCTTCCTCAACCGACGTCCGACAACACTTCGAGATGGACGCCACCGCGGGTAAGAAGTCTTGCCGCGCTGTCTTCGATCTCGCCCCGCGACAAAAAGAAACTACAACACCGACAATCCGAACTCGACAACACGCGCAAAAACCAACAGAAAACGATAGAGCGACGGTGGAAGGACCAGGCTGCGGTTTACGAGAGGATGCTCCGGATGAATCGAGCAATTCCGGCAAACGCTCCGTTGAAGTCCAACCAGCTGGAGCTATATCTAAGGGAGGAGACGATAGCCGAATTCGCCGGCTTGGTGTCGAGGGGCGAGAACATTTTCTATCGCCATGTGTATCACGGGTGCAAGGTGCATGTTAAGCCGCTGTCGGAGAGCGTCGGGATGTGTCGCCGGGTGATCTTGGAGGGTCGACCGGCGGCCGTGGAGGAGGTCAAGAAAGAAATGCTGGAGATCGGGACCCTACAAGATGAATATGATCCGGTCGTCGACATGCGTAAGCCGGTGGTTCCCATCTACCCTCGGGTTGACCGACGGATACACAAAGACATACCCTTGGTTCGGGGCACGTGGGATATGCCCAAGGATCCCACGGAGTTCACTGTGGATCAGATTATCCGCCAGGGAGAGCTCCTAGCTACTGTGAGGGACTTTACGCACCACGTGGAGGATCTCATTACGTCTTGGCCCAACTCCAGGGAGCAGCCGGGTAAGCACGGTGCGGATGTGGCCGATGCTCTCGAGACGCTTTTCCTGAAAAGTGCCCACACAGAATTGACATCAACAGCGTCGTTGAATCAAGCCCTGTCGTTCTTGCTAGAGCGCAAGCAGTATTGGATCGCACACCAGATTTTCCACTCCGCGAAACATGTTGCAACCGTGGAAACCTTCAACATGATGCTCAGGTCGACGGCCCTCGAGCAGAACCTGAAGCGGTTCAGGAACCTCTTGCATGGTATGGAAAATCTGGGCATCCGCGCAGATGTCGAGACCTGGCTTGCTTATGCTGACTGCTTTGTTTCTCCAACCAAGAAGATGGCAGTAGTGAACAGTCTACGGCAGCGAGGGATGCTGCAGGAGACCACGCTGCAGCGGACAGCGTTGCGCGCGGTGTTACACGACTTACTGGTGGAGCATCTCCATAACGGCGGCGACATAAACTCTTTTCTGGAAAAGATAGCCCGGGACTGGGACAGCACGATGTGGAGCCCGAGTATGGTCAACCAGATGATGTGCGCCGTCATGCGAGTGAATCATCTGAAGGCGAGAGATCAGCTGTTCCAATTCTGCAGGCAGAATGGCTTACGTATCGAGCCTTACACTTTTTATCTTCTCGTGGGCACATGCAACAAGGGCAACATCCTTCAGGCCCTGCAATACATGTACCAGACCATGGAGGATCCGGCGCGAGAACTCAACGTCGCCGGCTGGACGCGACTCTTCCTACACGCATGGCACGGCGGATACTACAACATTTGCCGTGTGCTATGGCGGTATGCCTGCATGAGAGGACATGCGGCTTCACGCATTGCCGAGCGAGTCTATGAATCCCTGCTGCACGAAGCTGGCCCGGAGACAACCTTCCGTAGGGCTGTCGCGGCGCGGCTCATCCTCGGAATCGATCTGGGGTCGCCCAGGCCAACCTCGGGCGGGAGGTTTTATAAGCTCAAAGGCTTGCCGGCCGAATATTCCGCAGACCCGGTGAAGTATCTGTGCATCCAGGTTGATCCCACGGAGCGGAATAACCAGCTGAACGTCAGCGAGGCGATCCTTGCTCGCGATATGGATGTGGCACGATTCTACAAACCTCAGGTATCACTTCGGGCGATGCTCGACGCTGCGACTATTGTGGATCTCGAATGGAAGGAACTGGCTCGCGAGAAGGCTTTCGCTCGCGAGGAGCCTCTGACCCTCGAATGGATGCGCGACAACATCATCCAGGTTAAATTACTCCCGCATGACCGCCAGGACGAGAAGAAAAAGAGGCAGAAGCAGCAGCAGCAGCGGTGGCGGCGGCGGTGAGTGACTTCCGCTGCCCCGATATTGTCCTGCGCCATCTTGTGGTCCTGGTTTCCTGCTAGGCCTCACACATTTGCCATGATCATGAGCCATAACTCATCACTCACCCACCCATCCACCCACCTCTTGGCCCTTGGCGGCCCTGTATATATATGTATATTGAGCCATAATTGTAAATAGATTCTTAAGTATAGATATAGAGCGGAAGATAAAGACAACAACACTGGGGAATCTGTGAAAGTGCAATCCAGGCCAAGAAAACAAGAATTTCTAAATGCCATACTGAATCTATAACCAAGTGGGTTCCAGCCAAATGCAATTGATGATCTGCAGCACGATGCCACCCCACCCAGCCCCCCTCCAACGTCACCAAGTTCCAAGCAAAGAAACATCAATCATTTTCATCACATGCATACACATAATCATTAGTAGGTCATTTGGGTAAAGGGAGGGGTGCAGTCGGAATGAGTGTATGGGAAACGACTGTGGTCTAATATATCCCGCCCAGCTCGGCCCTCGCTGGAAAAGGATAGACATGTGAGGGATAGAGCAATCGTGTCTTTAGGGTAGGCTCCTTTGAATACTGCCTGTGTCCACTTCTTCGCCCTGGCCAGGTGGCCACCTACCACCCCCCACTGCCATTCTCATGCAGCAAGGCCGGTTCCGGCGCCGCCAGCGCCCCCGTCATCTCCGCCCCTCCTCCTATCCCTCGTGATGGGTCACCACCACCACCACCACCGCCGCCGCCGCCGCCGGGCAGAGGAAGGGGATACGGCGGACCCGAGGCCGGCGCCGCCCCAGCCCCATAAGGATCGAGCGTGGTGCGCATCGACCCCACGCCTTCCTTGAGGTATAACACCAGCCGATAGGCCGAGTTCCCGTTTAGATAATACCGATGGAGCCGCTTGCTGCGCAGGAATCCTAGCCGTTCGTAGAGCTTGATGGCGGCCGTGTTGGTGATTTCGGTTTCGAGGACGATCTGTTCGCGGTGGGTTTGTGTTAGCTTGAGCTGAAGCTTGTTTGGAGGAGAGGGGGGGGGGGGGGAAGGCAAGGTTGAGATGGGAAGAAAAGAACACACCTCGTCCGCATCCCGCTCAATCATCGCATCGATCGCCATCCGAGCTAGCTTGGTCGCGATGCCCCGGCCTCGATACTCCTCCTTCACGGCTAGCATGGCGATGTAGCCGCGCAGAGGTCCGCCGCGGTGGGGTTCGAGTTTCGAGACAACGACGCCGACCATGCGCGGCTGCTGCTGCTGCTGCGGGGATGAGGATGCTGTTGTTTCGGATGCGGGGGAGGCGGATGAAGAGGCGGAGTCGTCCATGGCCATGAAGCATAGGTCTCCCCATTGGTAGAGGAAGTAGCGGTAGACGTAGATGCTGTAGGGCTCCGAGAGGTCTTTGGAGATTAGTTGGCGCATGGCCGGGACGTATTCGTCTTCGCGGGCGCCATCGTAGCGGACGTAGCGGAGGGGGTTATGGGTATTAGTTGTTGTTGCGGTGGTGGTGGGGGTTGTGGGAGTTGTGGTGGAGGTGGTGGTTGTTGATGGTGTTGGTGTTGTTGTTGTTGTTGTTGTTGTTGTTGTTGTTGGTGCTGCTGCTGCTGTGGCGGTTGAAGACAATGCGGGGGGTGGATTCGGGTTCATTGGAGCGGTGGAGGAATTGGCATTGGAGGGTAGCAATGCGAATTGATTCAGGAACAGAGACGTGGAATGGTCAAGTATGTGCTGGTTAGGTGGATGTGCAGTAGACAGACAGACACAAGTTACACCTTCAATCGGAGATGGAGAGAACCGAGAAGAGAGAGAAAGAGAAAAGGAAGAAAAGAAGAAGAAGTTCGGGATGACGTCCGATTCCCGCTCCGTTTCTTTCTTTGCTCTCTCTCTCTCTCCTTCCCCAACATGTGATTTTCAACCTTTTTCCATCCGCGGCTTTTCTTCCCCCTCCTTATTTTCTTCTTTCCTATCCCGCTTAATCTTTTTCTTTGTGTTGGGTTGTCTTGGGCTTCAATCCGGCTACCTAGTTGCCATTTTATCTATGCCATTGCTCCTCGGAGATTTCTGAGTTGTTGCACGGAGCTTTTTCTGACCTTGTAATCCGGCGGTGATGCTCCGGCGTCGCGTGGGCAAGGAAGAGGAGGAGGAGCCCAACCACAACCTTAACCACAACCACGAGGTGCAGCCCTCCTCCGATTCCTCCTTCCGCGACAATTTCCAGTCCAAGTCCCAATTCAAGTCCAAGTCCGATACCGACTCGCCTGCAGCTGCCCGTCCCTCCCATTCCAAACGATCCGAGTCCTTCATCCACAAGCCGCGCAGTAAACGTCGCAATGGATTGATCTTCGCGCTGGGCGGCCTTTTCGGAGTTCTGGTCGCCGTGCTCTTCGCCAACCAACAGGATGTCATCAGTTTAGACAGTTTAATGGACTTCAACATCGAGTCCCTGATGGAGGTGATGCCGCATGGGTTCTTGAACGATGCGAGAGAATTCACCGTACGTTATCTTCCTTGTCGGCGCCCGTCGGAGATAATGTGGGCGGGCAGATAATGCAACCATGCCTCGTGCATGCAGTGAACCTCAATAAGATGATTGCTGACCGGGATGGGACTATCTATATAGCAACATGAGCGCGACACGGTCAACTACGATCCTTTCTCCGTCGGACTACACCTGCAGGCGCAAGGTTTCCAGGCGAAACACCCGATGGTCATGATCCCCGGGGTGATCTCCACCGGTCTGGAGAGTTGGGGCACCGAACCTGCATCCCGGCAGTACTTCCGCAAGAGACTCTGGGGCAGTTGGAGCATGATGCGGGCGCTGGTGCTCGACAAACCGGGGTGGAAGAACCATATTATGCTGGACAAGGACACCGGGCTCGATCCCCCGGGGATCAAATTGCGCGCGGCGCAGGGTTTCGACGCGACCGACTTCTTCATCACGGGCTACTGGATCTGGAACAAGATCCTCGAGAACTTGGCGACCATCGGCTACGACCCCACCAATGCGTTTACGGCGGCCTACGACTGGCGGCTCTCGTACCCGAACATGGAGGTCCGGGACCAGTACTTCAGCCGCCTGAAGTCGTACATCGAGACGGCCGTGCAGGTCCAGGGCGAGAAGGTTACCCTCGCCTCCCACAGTATGGGCTCCCAGGTCGTGCTCTACTTCTTCAAATGGGTCGAGAACCCCGAGCACGGCAAGGGCGGCTCGGACTGGGTCAACCGGCACGTCGCCAACTGGATCAACATCAGTGGCTGCATGCTCGGGGCTGTCAAGGGCCTCACGGCCGTCCTGTCCGGCGAGATGCGCGACACCGCCCAGCTGAACGCCTTCGCCGTCTACGGGCTGGAGAAGTTCCTGTCCAAGGAGGAGCGCGCCGAGATCTTCCGCGCCATGCCCGGCATCTCCAGCATGCTGCCCAAGGGCGGCGAGGCCGTCTGGGGCAACGCGACGTGGGCGCCCGACGACCAGCCGCACCAGAACCTCACCTACGGCAACCTGCTCAATTTCCGCGAGAGCGGCACCAGCCGCATCATCAAGAACATGACCATCACCGAGAGCCTGAACTACCTCCTCGACGAGGGCGAGGACTGGTACCGCCACCAGGTGCTAGCCAGCTACTCACACGGCGTCGCCCACACCGCGCGCGAGGTTGAGGCCAACGAGCACAACCCGCGCACCTGGCTGAACCCGCTCGAGGCCCGCCTCCCGCTCGCCCCGGACATGAAGATCTACTGCTTCTACGGGGTGGGCAAGCCCACCGAGCGGAGCTACTTCTACCAAGAGGAGCGCGACCCCCTCGTCAATCTCAACGTCAGCATCGACACCACCGTCACAAACAACGACGGCGTCGACCACGGCGTCCACATGGGCGAAGGCGACGGCACCGTCAACCTGCTGAGCACCGGCTACATGTGCGCCAAAGGCTGGCACATCAAGCGGTATAACCCCGCCGGGGTGAAGATCAAGGTCTTTGAGATGCCCCATGAGCCGGACCGCTTCTCGCCCAGAGGTGGGCCTAACACGGGTTCGTTCCTCCCTTTCCTGTTCCTCATCTGGAAACCCTGACACACTCACTCCTCATTTGAGACCCGCCCCCCGCCCCACGGGCACCTCCGCACATCACCAACCCATCCATGTCCCTCCGTCAAACAAATCACTCCACCCATCTAACACCATAGAAAAACAGGAGACCACGTCGACATCCTCGGCCGCGCCTCCCTCAACGACCTCATCCTCCGCGTGGCCGCCGGCCAAGGCGATCACATCGAAGAGACCTACGTCTCCAACATCCGTGAATACGCCGAACGAGTCCAAATTTTCGATGATGAATGAACAATAGACATATGTGCACAAATGAACAAATCTCCCCCCCTACCAAGATCAAATAGACTATAACAACCAACCGCCTCTTCCTGCCACCCATTTCATGTCCTTGAAAATGTTCAAATAGATCACATTTCGTTCGCCCGGGTGCTGCGGTTAGTTACACTTGAAGAGCAAAAGAAGGGCGAGTCGAGCTGTAAGCCGCCTTTTTCTTTCTTTTTCTTCTCGGTCTAGGCTTCGTATCCATGCCTTCATCAGAACCGATGACTATAACTAGCATACAGCGGCGGGTCCAGAGATTTTGATTACCTAATTACTAACGCTTTGTCTCAAGAAACGTCACGTGTCAGGCATGTCCCTTGGATGACCGACTATGTCAGAGGACGCTGAAAATTACCACGTAACTAACTACTACAACATTTACGGTGGAGAGAGAAAGAGATTCTTGTGATGATATTTCCAGATTTTTTTTTGTAAATCCGGAAATTCAAGGGAGGTTTCCATTTCCCAGATTTCATATGGTTGGTATGAAAGTAGTTAATCTAACTTACAGTCAAGGACAAAATGAAAGGTGAGAAAGACACATAAAGCCGGCGGGATCACCGTAGGCAAGAAAAAAAAATGAAGAGGATAAACAGGGCGTAAAGGGGGAGAGTATCACTTTTTTTTCTCAATTTC